AGGGGGGGAGGAGGGGGGGAGGGGGGGGAGAAGGATTATGGGGTGGCACCCAAATTCCCATTCCATTTAATTTACCGATGGGCTTCCAGTGTAATGGCAAGCGATTTTCTGCAATATTAATTGAGCATCTGATTAAACCACGGGCTTTAGTTGGTGTCGTTAAGAAAATTTGTAGGTGGTCCTGATTTAGTTGCATCATTTAAATTCCCATTGTCCGAGTTCAATCTTTTTTAAAACAAACTTTGGCATAAGCGGAGTGTAAAGACTTGACCATAAATTTTAGAAATGGCTTTAGTGGCCTTGTAGACATCCAATATCTGCCTGACGTGGTCTCTGTCTGGTGTTTGGCTGCACATTTTCACACTTTATAATAATGCGAAAGTTATTGTTTAGAAATAATTTTGAACAATTGGTGTAACAGAGGATTGTTCCTTCATCGTGTGCGGACACAATCCAAACTTAAACTCAACTTAGTGAAATGTGTGTTTGTTTTTTTAATTTTGCTCCATTGCGTTAGCGCAACTATACCTTATGACACTTATCTCTTGCAGAAAGGTTGGACTACTTTATATTCTGGTTTTGGCGCGACTTTAACTCAGAGATTGGCTATGATTTGGCAAATGAATTTGTCTGAATTAACCCATTTTTTACGTGAAATACGATTGAAAAATTTCAACAGGAGATGGTTTATTGTGAGTACCAGTGGTGACTTGATGGTTGCAGTGGTTTTCTCGTCTAACCATCTATAAACCATCCATAATTAGTTAATCGATTTTCCACTATCCTGCACCTACGCTTTGTGCTTTACCTTTCCAATATGCCGGCTTCTTAATGGTTTCTTATCATGAAACTCGTTCCTTCGTGCCTGCCACTGTCTTATCGGCTTTCCACCCTGGAATAATGGAATTCGGACAGTGGAGGGCCACTCCTTCACTTTATTCGGCATGTGACCCGGGCATCTACACAATCGGCAATGTGCCATTCATAAAATTGCGAAAAAAATATATTTGACCAAAAAGTTGGGCATTATTTTCAGAGAGCACTTAGACGCCGTGATTTATTGGTGTAGCTCAGAATTCTTTCGCTTTACTTGCATCGCTTTTGGGCTTATTTGTGTGTGTGTCATTCACCGAAGGTGGCAAAGCGCGCTTGTTTGAAAATCCCGCGCGCGCACACGTGGGGGCGGGCCCAATGACTCATCCACAAGTGTAAAACAATTAGACGCGAGTTCGACGCTTACCTTTTTTGTATTTTTTGAACCAAAATACAGATTTATTTTTAATATAATTAATCAAATAATTTATGCTTTATGAAACACACTACTTACAATTTCCCCTAGTATTTTGTGGTCATTAAGTTACAACGTTCAAGTAGTCAAAAGTGCAGTCTTCATTTACGATTGTACAAAATCGATTTGAGTGTCTGCGTTCCTTGAAGTGTCGCTTGAAATTCTTGGTTGAACGGGGAGTTATTTCCTTTGTGACACTTCATGTTCTTATTTTCGATCTGAAGATTTTTGATCCACGAAATGAATTTATGTAAAAAAATGTTCTAAAGTCGATAAAATATCATCTCCAAATCTTAAATGGCACTTTGAAGCACCCCTTGGATGTAAGGATGCAAAATATTCAATATTGCATTCTTTGAAGAGTTGGATAAGTAAAATATGAGCAAATCACAAAATATTTCACTTCAATTAGGACCGAAATTTACGTCCCTTTGTCGTTCACATCTTCTCCGGCTCCTTGATTGATTCTTTTCAGTTCATGGTCAGTCAAGACAGTTGGAGGACAATTGAACCTTTTTTCATAAATTAAGACTCAAATTCAATATTTTTTGCTATTTCTGTTTGATTGCAGAATTGAGCCTGCCATACCAAGTTGTTCTAGTTAAAAATGAGGGTGGTTGAGGCGCTTAATCTGATAGAATCTGAGATTTCCATCTTAAGCACAAACAGGAAATTCTAACCTAGTCTTAGTTTTATGTGTGTGTAACCATGAAAACTGCCGATCATTTTGAGTTTGCATGAAAATGTGGCTTTATGAAATCAGATATCAAGATCTGTGACTGTTTTATTACAAAGAGTAGAAGAAATGAGATATCAACCTTCTAAGTTATGGCTATGGATTTTGAAATGTGAGGAGGTTTTTAAATATTTGATTGTTGTCTACATTACTATTTGCCGATGGGATGTATGTCACACATATTACTCCGTCTACATGCGATCGGGTGAGTGCACTTAAGTCGAATAGTTCAAATTTGGCCACGCCAATTGTGCTGTAAGGGAGGTGAGTTGGGGGAGGGGAGTTTGGCACTCAACATTTATGTTGTCATAAGCTCCTTGGCAAAGAAAACTTTGTGATTTTTTTTCTATATTTACCTCAACATCTATCACTAGTTGTGCATGCCCAAGTTCACAATGGGCCATTTTCTTGTTGTCCAATGGGAATCAAGTTATAATCTGGTTTCAAATACATGTCACTCATTTCATAGGCTAATGTTCAATTTGCTTCACCACAGTGGTTAACCACCCTTAAGTACTTAGTCAAGTAGAAAAGTTAGCAAAGGCACTTATCACCTGTTTTCGTGTAGATATAACAAAGTTCAACGCATTATTGAGAGAAATTTAAGCTGCCCCGGAATTTGCTTGTAGTGAGAACATCGCATTCAGCCAAAAAACGATATTTCCCAGTGATTAAAACGTTAAAATAAATTATTATTTCAAATGGCAGACTTTGTGATATTTATCATTAGCCCTTAAGCTTTGACTTCAGCTTCCCCCAAGGGTGGGGGGTACATTTATAGCAGTTAATTAATAGAAATTCATTAGCTGTCTTCTTGCTTCCCAGTATCTTTGGCTTTCCGTCCTTGTCTTTAGGGCTGGACATCGAATCAGGTGGGTCTTCTCCATTTCCTCCTGTAGGTTACATAGGGTGCATGTGGGTTGAGTGTATACTCCTAATCTGTGAAGATGTTTTGCCAAGCAATCGTGTCCGGTACGTAGTCTAAACTCAGCAACGGCTTCGATTCTTGGCCAGTCGGGTATGTGGGAGAGTGCCACTGTCCACTGTTCACTTAGGTATATATTTAGCTTATTACTGATTCACAACCTACGCGAATTTATAATTAGATTGGAGGTAGTTTACTTGAATGCCATTCTGTTTTATTTTAGCCGGGAGATAGTTATCCAATGTCGCACAGTATGATTGCAACAACAACAACAGCAGGAGGAGGAGGAGGAGTGCCTTATTCTCTCGACCCCGCTCTCACGACGCCCTCCATGCTGAACACCCTCTCTGGAGACACCTCTACACTTCTCTACGGATCCGTTCGTCGAATTTGTCCCCCTGGTGTAGATTATGGACATCAGTACCCTCTCTCCTATCTTCGTCTAGCTGAACAGGGCTATACGGCGATAACCAGCTCTGATCTCCTCAGTTCTAATTCTCCTCTCTCATCTGCCACTCCGAATTCCTTACGACATCCACCAACGTCCACTCCTGCGCCCATTCATCAGCGCCTTTCTCGTCGAGATATGCCACCTACTCACCAATCCCAGTCGAGAACCCTACCGGCCAATCCAACTGAGGCTAGCATTATTAGACAGAATGTAGGAAGTGCCTACATGGATATGAGATATGCTCCTCAAGTATTTGGAGAAGTTAATGGTGGGCGACCGGAGAAGGATCGATACACGAGGTATCGGCAGATGTCGCCTGCGGGGAGTTCTCTAGGGAGGGCAGTCAGTTCTGGACGCGGCCCGAACTTCCTTATCCCAAAATCACGTGAGTTAATACCAATGTTTTTTTACTAAATGCCAACAGTAAGTAGAATGACATTTACTTTTAGCTAAAAGCCTATTGCAGCAAATAGTGCTTTTGACAGTGTATTCTTTTTGGTACATTTTACTTCTCCTTTTTAATTTCTTCTTTGCACTAAGAGGTAGTAAGGCGTTCTTGGAGGGGTTAGGATAATGCTATGGGACTTTCTCCTTTATAAGTGCGACTTTTGCAGACAGTACTTCATAACTTGTTCCTTTTTTGCGATGCTTTAAAATTGTTACCAGTGGAATTAATGGACGGCAGATGTGTGTCGCTGTGAATGAATTGAGACTGTGGTGTTTGAATTCACTCAAGCGTATTCACCAAAGAAAAAAAAACACGTCAACCAGTCGGAAGGATAATCAATGGTTCATTAAGTATTAAAAAATAAACACAGTGGCATTTGAAATACTTGAAATACTTCCAGGCAATGCAAGTTCTTGCTCAAGTCATCTGTTGAGTTTCAAGAATTCTAAAAAAGGCCGCGACAAATTGCAAACTATTTTGTACCAAAAAACGCAACTATCCCCCCCCCCTAATTAGTGAATCTCGTTTGGGAAAATAAGTAAAATATACTCGAAGAAATTCATTTTTTTGCAAATTGAAATGATAAGTATGTATGTTACTCTTCTTATGACAATTAAGTCAACTCAACCTTTCTCCGTGGCATTGATTTTCTACAGGATGGGGTCTCAAATAGTCGAACATTTTCTAACCGCCAAACTTTTGCTCTCCAATTGGAGTCTACTATCTCGTCCTTGAGACATTTATTTATTTATATAAAAAATGGCAGGGGTTATGATAGTTATCATTAGCCCTTTAACTGACTTCGGGATTCACAGTGAGGAGAGGGAAAATCTAAGTGAAAAAAGGTCGAGAAGGGAGGGGGGGGGGGAACAGAAGAGTGATTCACAGAGGTGAAAGAGACAGACAGACACAAAGGCAGAGAAAAGGTAAGATGAGTACTGTGGAAGGGGACGAATATGACATACAGTGAGGTGTTCTGGTAGTTTGAAGTGAGAAGTCAACTGTTGGTTAATAGACTTTTTTGCCGGATGAGAATACGTTGCCCAGGTTGCACCACATGGAGGTAAGTCTATCGCAAACCCCGTTCTTGAAACATAGTACTTACTTTCCCGAGGTTACGCAATTGAAAAGGATTGCCAAGCTGAGGTCAGTTAGTCCTCAATGTTGAAATAATTGCTTTTGATCCTGACATTTAGAACTAATTTTTCAACAAAAAAACCAACTTTAGATCTTGCGCACAAGCGGGAACTATTGGTCAATGTCATTTAAGCTTAAATGTTAGGCAGCATATGACGCATACTTGACACTTGGGGTTTGTTTTTTTAGTTGAAGGAAGGGGATGGAAAGAACTTTGAATTTATTGAAGTAGTGTGAGTTGAGGGCGGGTGGGAGGTGGGAGGTGGGGNGGGGGGAGGGGGGGGGGGGGGGGGGGGACGTAATTGACATTAGATAATAAAGGAGACAGGGTAAAGGTGATGTATAAGGAAGAAAGATGCTTGCATTTCTTATGTAAGACACCCAAACGAGGTGCCTATTCTCAATCCCAAAGGATTCAGATGCTTCAATTTACTTCGGGTTGGAAGTTAGTAATTTTGCTTCTTGACGGACATCAGACTCGAGGAAATTTTTCTTTCAAGAAAGCTTCCTTTTCTTTCGAGAGGGTTGCTCGCTCGTTCTCTCTCTCTCTCTCTCTCTCTCTCTCTTTTGAAATGAATAGAATGGAATTGGGGGGTGGAGTTAGGTGGGG